CAATGGCAGTTTTCTCTTTTCCTGCTGCTTGGGCCCCCAGGTCACACCAAGCCCTCTCTCTCTCCACCTCTGTTTCCTGGTAGCAGCTTTCGGCTGCTGTCTGTGTTATTCGTTAACCAGGCACTAATATTTCTGTTTACCCATCTGTCATCCTGCTTCGAGGCAGGGGATTCAGACAAGCCTCACAATTGTACAGCCTCCCTGATGGTCTTGGATGAAGCCCAACCAGCCATATTTAGCTAGTGTTTATCATGTCCAAAACCCCATGCAAGAGCCTTGTAGTCAGGGAAAGATAAAGATTTCCCCAGGAGGGTGTGATCTTCCTGCCAAGTGGAGCATAGGAGCTAATTATTAGTATCTCTTGCCAAATCCATGTTCAGTGTCATAACAGAAATTAGCCTGTGCTAAGGGGAGTGTATATGCCATAAAAATTGGTAAGGGCCACAAAGCAGATCATTCCCTCCCCTCTACCCTTCTGCCTCCCTGCCCTACATCCCCTACAACCAAGAGCTGGTCTTTAAACATTGTCCAGCATGCCACCGGGAACAGGCATTTACCTAATAAATAGAAAATAACTTGTAAGGCCTCCTCCTGGCTATTTGATATTTGGGTGGCCAATCCTAATGGAAAGGGAAGCTGTCCTCCTGATGAGACTCCTCTACATTTGCACAGAATTCTATGGTTTCTTACCTCTGTCGTGAACATTATTTCTTTGACCCTAACAACCATCTCCCTTCAGTGGTAGGTGCAGCTGCCACAGTGGACTTGTTAAAATAGAAACCAGACCTGGGGGTGTAGGTCAACAGTAAAGTTTGTGGTTGGTATGTGAGAGGCCCTCCTCAGTTTGGCCCCCAGCATGGCAAGAAAAACAGTGGAAATTGGATAATTCTACTCTTTCTTCAAACCCTTGAAAAGCTTCCAGAACTTGAATGGTGTCCAGAAGCTTTTCAAATCCATTCACACTCCTTTCTCTGACCAAAGGGGCTTTGTGCGGTCTGAACTTTGCTCTCTTTGACCAGATTTCTGTCACCCCCCCAGTTCACAATTTTACTGCCCCGACGTCAAAGTGTGGTCTCTGACTGAGCAGCACCCTCATCACCCAGTCACTTGTTAGAAAGGCAACCCAGGCGTACTATGATGGCTGATTTCATGTCAACTCAACTGGACCGCATCATCTGGCTAAACGTCACTTCTAAGTGTGTCTGTGAGGGAGCTCCCAGTTGAGGTCCACATGTGAATCAGTAGGCTGGCAAAGCATATTGTCCTCCCCACCGGGAGTGGACACCATCTCACCTGCTGAGGGCTTGACGAGAACACAAAAGCAGAGGAAGGGAGAATTTGCTGTCTCTGCCCAACAGCTCGAGGGTGGCACTGGCCTTTGGTCCTCACTCTAAAACTTACACCACCCATTCTCCTGGGTCTCAGGCCTGTACACTTGGACTGAAGCTACCCTACCTGCTTTCCTGGGGCTCCCACTTGCAGGTGATGGATTCTCAGCCCCCAGAATGGTCTGAGCCAATTCCTCATAATGAATCACATATATTTTATATCATTTATTATATTATATATCTTCTACAGGTTCTGTTTCTCTAGAGCACCCTGACTCATGTACCTAGTGAATCTGAAATCCTGGGGGATGGAGGACAGAGCTCTACGGCTCAATGCACCCTCCTGACGATCCTAACACAAGTTCAAGTTTGGAACGCATTTTTTTTTCTCAGTACTGGGCATCAAACTCAGGACTTTGTACCTGCCAGGCAGGAACGGTGCCACTGAGCTAAATCCCCGGCCCTTACAAGTTCAAGTTTGAAATTGCTCTTCGAGCCCCACAGGCCCTCTCTGGCTCTGAGATGCTAAAGTTTTCTGTCAGGGTTTTGTACCAGCAGTTCCTGAATTGATAAAGAACACATTTAATATACACACACTAGATTAGTCTTCAGCCACAAAGAAAGGTATGTGAAATAAATCAGACAACGAAGGTTAAATGTCTCATGGTTTCCCTGACCCCAAATATAAATAATTTAAAGGGCAAAATAAAGATGATAGGAAACAGGATTACAGGCTGTGGAGATGGGAAAGGGAGTTGGAGATGGCGGAAGATGGGAAGAGAGGGACGGAAGGGGAGGTAAAAGTGATTAAGATGTGATACGTATATGTCTCAATTCCCCAAATGGATGTAATTATTATGTACCACAAACATATTCTTATAAAAATGATTTTTTTTTGTTGTTTTTTTGAGACAGGGTCTCACTGTGTAGTTGAGACTGACCTGGAACTCATTATGTAGCCCAGGCTGGTCTCAAACTCACCAGGGATCCTCCTGCCTCAGCCTCCCGTGTGCTGGGATTACAGGCATGCGCCACCACACCCGGCTTATAAAAATGATTTTAAAAATAAAAATTAAATAAAAAGACTACTCCTCCCATGGGCCTTTGTACAGCAACTCCTTTTCCTTGTCAGGACTCAGCCAAATGTCACTGACTCCGGGAAGTCTTCAACCCTTCTCTGCCTCCCATTCTACTGTCTCCTAAACTTTGACTCTATTCCTTTGTAACTAGGTTCCATTTGCCCGTCTGGAATGACCTGGCTCGTGCCCATCAGGGCAGGTGTCTTTTGTACATTTTGTATCTCCAGCCCCTAGGGAAGTGTCTGAAATAGGCAGGCGGCCCTTGACTTGTGAAGGATCAGCGTAGGATTTTTGAACTTTAAGGTGGTGTGAAAGTCATTCAGTAGAACTGTACTTTGCATTGTGGATTTTGATCTTTCCCTGGGGTTGGGAATATGCAATATGATGTTCTCTTACAATGCTGGGAGGTGTAGCAGTCAGTGGCTCAGTCCTGAGGAGAAACAACAAATGCACTGTACAGCAGGCTAGGTATGTTAAACATATTTTGGACTTTTAAAGTTAGGATGGGTTTGTCAGAACAAAATCCCGTCATAGGTCGAGGAGCATCCACAATAATCAATCCATATTTGTTGAACAAATAAATTACTGATTTCCCCATGAAGAAATGGGTTGGTATATCCAGTGATCTGATGATGGTTAAATTCTGGTGAGTAGCTCAAGTCTCACCCTGAAAGTCTCAGACAAGCTCTGGTGATTTCCTAACAACCCCGTGAGGTCCCAGATGACTTCATTTTGTACTTTCCTGGTTAGCAAGAGCAGCTGCATCTCTAAAGAACCTGAGAATCTCAGAGTTGGAAGAAGCTGGCCAATTCACTCTCTCAGCCCTTATTAGATCTGTGTTTCCTCAGTGTCCTAGCACAAGTGGTTGCTAATTTCTGCTTGAATGTTCCTGGAAATTAGGGAGTGACCGCCTGGCTGGGGGAGCCAGTTCAGTTTACACAGCCCCAGCTGTTTGAAAGATCCCTCCCTGTTGTGATCTTTGCTCTTTGGTACGGGGCTACACAGAATACCTCTCCTGTAAAATGGGCCTCAGTACATCCCAACCTCATAGCCACACAGCAGCATTCTCTTACTCCCTTCTCCTGTAGCAGTGCACAAAAGCAGGCATCTTGGAGTCACAAGACCTAGATCTGGACTCCTTCTTACCTACTGACCTTGGAAAATTAGAATATTACCTTAACCCTCTTTGGCTCCTTTTCTAGCACAGTGTCTGGCATTTGAGTTGCTCTATTACTGTTGTCATGTTGTTTGAAATCTCTAAAAACACTTTGCTTCCTTTTTCGGGGTTTTATTTCTTCTCTGAATCAGCGTCTTTCTTATAAATGTGTCAGTACTGAGCATGCGCATTTCATACATCCAAGTGGAGTGGTGTTATTAGCAACTTGTTTCTTTTAATGCTGCCTAAATCAAATTAGGTTTTTAAGGAAGCTGTAATACACCACAGACTCATAATAAGCTGAAATATTTCAGTTTTTTTCTCGCATATTCGTGTTAAGCCATCCTGTAGTTGATTACCTAATATACTGTTTCAAGGATTTCTAATTACTTATATTTCTTTGAAGTGGAGAAACACTGCTTCGCACAAATTGACATCTCTAGAACTAAATAATACTCTACAATTTCTTAGCAATTTCATATGTACAATCCTGCATGTGCACGTGTGTTCCAAGGACGAAACTCCGAATTGCAGTTCACTCCTCAGAATGATCCTGGGAGATGTACCTTATCTTTATTATGATGACTTGGAAAGCCTAGACTTGCTAGTAAGATGCTCCAGTACTGAAGTCAGGGCTCAGAGGGTGCTGGTTCAGACTTTCTTTAGAAAAGGAAACCAATGATCTTTTGGGTGGGTGGGAGTCGTAAAGGCTTTCTGGGAAAAGTTAATATTGAGTGGGATTTTGGAAGAGGGGTCAAAACAAGTGATCAGGGAGTGGGGAGTATGGGGTGGAGACGGGGGAATGCAGGAAAAGTCTCTCTGAAGAATAATTTCTTGGACAGATTGGGCTCCTGAGACTCAGTCACTTAGTGAGGTTCACCTGTGGGGCCCCAGATCCTCTCAGTAGGGTGGAGGTGGCTCTGTGTATTCTCTTCATATCTCTGCATGTAGCTGTGACGTGTATGTAGCTTTAACTGCAAACCTCAAGGCTGGAGGCTGGAGAGTTAGTTAATTCAACGAAGGGTCACTGAGTCAGGGATGTAGGATCGGGAAGGGAGAAGGCACAAGACAGGCAAAGGGATGATAGGTTATGGGAGGAGAACTTTTAATGACAGGGAGCTGTGGGCTTCTGAGCAGGAGGGAACTTGGTTAAAGCCCCCGGAATTGACAGGGTTGCCTACGTCCTCTAAGGCCAGGCTTCCCTCATCCTTGAGCTGATAAGATTCCCTCAGTGTCCTCACTCCCATCTCCGCCATTATGTTTCCCTCGGAAAAGGTCTCTGTGGTTCCCACTGCATCACCTTTTCCCTCCGGCTTTTCTGGCTGGTCCTCCCTCCTAGGTTTGTCCCCCTCCTCCCCACTTGCCGAAGTGTCACAAGAATGGTGGCCACTCACTTCACAGTTTCATCATTTTTATTTTCAGTCTGTTGGAGCACACTGTTTTCTCCTGCGATAGCCAGTGTCAGTCTCAGAATGATGGGTGCCAAGCCACCTGCTGGTCTGCGTGGGGTAACAGGGAGGATGAAGAGGCCCAGACCGCGTGCAGCTCCAAGTTTAATGGAGCGGACACAATAATGAGAAAATGAATAAAGCGCACATATGAAACAACAGGTCAAACTGATACAGTGCACCCCAGATCAGTAGAGATCTAAGCCTTTCCAGTCCCCTTTGCTCAGCACCTTGTGGAGATTTCTGGGCTTTCATTTAGTATTTCTCTTCCATCTCTTTCTCGCTGGCTTCTTTCCAGCACCAACAGCCAGACCAGTGCCTAGGTGCTGTTCCTAAGCTTGTAGCAAGGTTGCTTTAGGACTCTGCTTTCATCTTTCCCTGCCACCAACTTCCTCACGAAGACTGAATTCATACTGACCACCTTGTTTCCAACACCCGGCCAGACAGTGCTTCCAGGCCTGACCGTTCCTTCTCATATCACTGAGCTATGATCACTTGGGAAGGAAATTTCAGACAGGCAATGATACCAAGCTAGCAAGAGAGATTTTTTACAAAGTCCCAGTCATCGTTTGGGCTGGAGGATTCCTGCCTCTGGGAGCTTCCCACCTCCCTGGCTTCCCAACTCCTGTGTGGCCCAGCGCACCCCAAAGGTGCAGGAAATCACTAGTCTGTGATGAGGTCCGAACTTGGCATTCTCTCTGTTTGACTCACGCCCCTGTCCCCACTTGCAATCACCTCTGCTGTCTCTTTAGCTCTGCACCCGAGCAGGGAGGAGCCCTGAAGGCGCAGCAGCTGCAGCCCTTCGCCAAAAGTTCTTCGCACCACCGAGGAAGAGAAGTAGAACAACAGCGGGTCCAGGGTGGCATTGAGGGAACAGAATACCACGGCCTCCTCCCGCCACTGGGGGCTTTGCCGTAAGAAAAACCCCACCAAGTGTGACAAGTTGTAAGGTCCGAAGCACAGCAGGAAGTTGAGCAGGGTCACGACAGCCAGTCCCACGGCTCGGCGCCTCCTCTGGGCCCCTACGTGGGGCTGGGTAAGCATGATCCACACGAAGCGCCAGTAGCAGAAGATGGTGACCGCCATAGGGATGAAGAAGAGGACCAGGCACAGCTCCAGCCTCACCGGCAGCACCAAATCGAGCTGGTCTTGCGTGAAGTTCTGATAGCACGTTCCTTCGCTCCCGTCTCTCACCTGCTCGGTGGAGTTCAAGTACTGAACAACAATCACTATGGTGCAGTGACCGAAGGACATGATCCAGGCGACCAGAGCAGCGATCACTCCATATATAGGCCGCCGGGAGAGCTTGTACTGCACGGGAAAGGCCACTCCCAGGTAGCGCTCGATGCTGATGCCCGCCAGGAGCCACGTGCTGCAGTAGATGCTGCTGTAGAAGCCAAAACCAGTCAGGGCGCAGACAATCTGAGGCAGATACCAGCGGAAGTTGGACGCAGCCTCGATGATCCTGAAGGGCAGCAGCAGCAGCAGGAGGAGGTCAGCTAGTGTCAGGCTGAGTAGGAGGATGTGCACGGGCGCTGGCTGGGGCTGGCGGACCCGCCCCACAAAGGCGCGCAGGGCCAGGAGGTTGGCAGGGAGGCCAGTGAGGAAGATGAGGATGTAGGCTGTGAGGATCAAGGAGCTGTGCCAGTCAAGAGTCATCCTGGAGGAGGATGGAAAAGTGCAGAGTCAGGAGGCCCCACTCACAGCCTGCAGACTGTCCTCTTCTGGTTCAGGACGCAGACATCCTCCCTGGCACTGTCCCCTTCTTCCCAGGCCAAAGCTTTCTGCTGCCACCACTGCTTGCTCACGCCACCTGCCAGAACTGCCCAGAGCAATTATTGACTTTACCTTGGGCGGGATATTAAGCAGCAGTTATTACGTTTGCCATCCTGTGTCTCTGGGGGGAGACCAACCCTTGGCTCCCCAAGGGAATTCCCCCTGCAGTTTCCTGGGCCTTTCTCCCGCTAGCCTCACAGGTACAGGAAGTTACTGTTATCAGTTTCCACCTTGACCCAGAGGGAGACGAAGGCATGACAGCCAGGAGAGGGCTGTAAAGTGTGTCTCAGGGTAAGGAGGCCATGAGAGCCCAGACGCTGTGGACCCTGGGATGGCTGTCCCAGCACCCCCAGCCTACCTCCCTACCCTCCTGTCCTCTCCTTTCACAGAACATAATTTTCCACTACCTTATTCATTCCTATCCAACTACTCTGGGACTCTATCGCAAAGGGGAATCTGGGGCAGGGTGGGAGGAAGTGTGAACAAGCACACGCTTTGGGGCTTGCCCTGCACAGACTGTAAAGACTTCAGAAAAGCCCCAGCTGAACCCGCATTTTGCCTATAAATAGAAGAACTCCGGTTCTCCACGGGGTGACTCAGTTTCCACTGGGTTGGTAACCCCTGCTGCCTACACAGTTTTGCCCTCCATCCTCTCTGGATTCCCCGGCCCAAGGTTCCTCGCCCTGGCACACAGGACAGCTCCCGCCTCTGGGTCTGACCTTCATATTTCAATTTCTCCAGCACCGCCTGCAGCGCCTTCCCGCCAACTCTTGATCCTGCCGGTGGGGTCCCAGAGCTCGGTGAGCCATCTTGCCTTGTCTTTGTTCTCGATAGATGACTTCTTGGGGCAAGCCTGGAAGCCGAGGAAAGAGGAACAGCACTTTAGCTGCTGCTGCTGCTGCCCATTTCACACAGGAAAGTATCGCAAGGGACCTGGCTGGCGGAAAGCTTTTATATCCCTGGGGCCACGTGACCAGAGAAAAGAAGCTCTTTTCTCCCAAACCCACAGTATCGGGCCTCTGCACCTCCATACTCTCCCGGGACAGCCTCTCTCAGGACAGATTTTTCTGTCCTGACTTCCTGTTTGTTTGGTGTGTGTGTGTGTGTGTGTGTGTGTGTGTTTAACCCCAGGCCTTTTTTTTTCTAGGTCCCAAGTCAAATTCTCTTCACTAAGGCAGTGTCTTCTGTCAGGGCCTAGAATGTCAATTTCTTGATCAGAAAATAGGTTTCCTGCTTCTTTTCATTCTTTAATTTTCTCCTTTCTGGGTGTACGGTCTCCTGTCTGCCACCCTAACAAATTTCAGTTTTTCTGTTTCAGATGAAACAGATTGGTTCCAGGATCCTAGCTTCCATCTTATGGTAGAAACAGTGTGGGATTTAAGGCCATGCAGATGTCAGCTCAGATCCAAGTCCTTTTATTAGGGATTTGGGGCACATCGATTTTTCTGAACTTTTGTTTCCTTTTCTGTGAAGTAAGCATGGGAATATTAACCTCACAGGATTTCTGAAAGGACCTGGTGAGATACAAAGTGCATGCAGGGCTTAGCGTTTAGTGGATGTCCCTGTTTTTCCTCTTCCCGTTCCTGTTGAGCAGATTCATAAAACACGAGCCATTTGGTAAAATATCTGGAGGCTGGGGTGTGCCATCTAACTGAGAAAGTGTTAGGCATCCAGGAGACTCAAGTTCCGGTGCCTGTATGGCCCCTCACGGGTGTGGCACTCAGTGCTGGTCCTTTTCTTTTTATATTCCCCTGAAGTACCCCTGTCCTTTTTCTCTCTTTCCCCCCTCTCTTATCTGCTTAGAGCACCAGGATAGAAGCTCCTGAATCCTTTTGCAGTATGCACCCAAGAAAGCCAGGGGTGGTGGCTCACACCTGTAATCCCAGCTCTAGAGGATGCTGAGGCAGGAGGATTGCTGTGAGTCTGACACCAGTGTGGGCTACACAGTGAGGCCAGTCTGAACTGCACAGGGAGACCCTGACTCAAAAAAAAAAAACCAAAAAACCAAAAACAAAAAAGCAATATACATCCAAGGAACAAGGACAGTCACAATATGGTTCTCTCTTTGACTTTT